TGGTCTACAGCTCCACACGCAGGCCGCAGACATTGCATGTCCAGTATGTGGGTTGTATTTTGGTTCGGAGGCCGGCTTGGTGATGCACATCAAGAGCCAGCGCAAGGAGACGCATGAGAACGCCAAGGTGACGTATGTTAAGTCCAAGCACTCGATTTTCGGAATTCCTATGTGCAAGTTCTGTTTAAAGTTGCAGTGCGATTGGCAATCACTGGAGAAACACATTACCATGGGGGGCTGTCTGGCGAAGAAGGCTGCTTTTGCCAGTGGAATCAGCATGGACGAGCTCTATGTGCAGACAGAGCAGATGCCCTGCGCCCTCCACAGCCTCCTGAAGCCATAAAAGACCGCTTTGATCACAAGGTTCTCCTGACGGATGGGGCGCCGTTCTACTCGGCACTGAACTCGGAGCTTAACCAGTATGCCGCTTCAATTTTGGCGCTGAAATCACGCTGTGCTCTGTGTGGTCAGGTTCTACTTAGCGGAGCTCGGGTGAAGCCGCGCTGGAGAAGATCGCGTGCGCAAGCCTGGGCCCAGGTATCAGCAGACGCAATCAGCACATGCAAGAGCCTGGCATCAATTTTTCGGAAGCCCTGTCAGTTCTGTGACAGCGAGGCTAAGAATTCCATAACCTTTCAGGGCAGTGCTCGGCGCGATTTCAGGTCGTGGCCGGCCGAAGTCTCAAGAGAATGGGGCAACAGGACTCCGCGGGACAAGACTCGAAGGCCCCCAAGCCTCGCCGCAGTGCCACGATGGCCGCGTACAAGACCTTTGACCTCCGGCAGTCACCTCTTGCGCAGGCTTTTCGGAAAGGTTCTGGGAGAGACAGCAGGTCTTCCAGTGTCATGGAGCAGGCCAGTGGCACAGAGACAAATCCGGCAAGCGTGGACAAGAGCAATCCACGTAGGCAGACGCGACCCCTCCAACAAGAAGACAGCGACAGGACAGCTCACAATACGGCAGGCGCTTGGACTTGCTAGCACAGACGCGGCAGGACAGCGATCCTCTGCCCCAAGTGCGCCTTGGACCTTCAATATCAGGCTGGGTAACCCTCATCAGCTTTGCTATGTCAACGCGAGTGTGCTCTCACTGGTTCATGCTCTACAGGGGCACAATCCAGCGGAGCTCGCGGGGGTGGTTGCGCTTTGCGGGCAGAGCGCTGAGAGGGGAAGCACCCTAGTTCTTGCTAGGCAGCTTGTGGTCAGAAGTCTTTGTCCCAGGTGGAGCTTTGGCCCCACACAATGCGATGCCTCTGAGTTTGTGATGGCTCTTCTTTCGGAAAGGTCGGAGCAGTGGTTTAGATGGGAAGAAAGGAGAGTGGTACAGGGTGTCATGGAGGTGGTGGACAGAGGGGGGCCCTGTCTTCCTGCTTGAGGTGCCAAGGGCAAGATCATGGACTCCAACACAGGCGTTTCATGAGTGGAGCGAGGTCGGGCATCCCAGGGCTATTTCGTGGTCGGGCAGTGTTCTTATTGTTCAGCTTGGCAGGTACATTGATGGTCGCAAGGACGTGTCGCAGGTGGCGATTGACTCCCCGGTCATGGTCCCAGTCTTTGACGAGGAAGGTCGGATTCAGAGGAGTACAAAGTTGCAGCAGCGGTTGTTCACCTTGGAGCCAGGCCGACATCGGGCCACTATCGAGCTCTGCTGCGAGACGGAGACCGGTGGGGATACTCAGACGACAACGCAAGAGCCACGCTGGTTGATATCAGTGCTGAGCACCGGAAGAATGCCTACTTGCTTTTTCTGGTGCGTTCTTCTCAAGAGTAGGGTCACTGATAGACACAGTTGGGCGCCATGACGGAGCACATGGACCCAGTTCAAGAGCAAGAACTTGCCTTCTTTGACAGCCTCATGCCAAGTGGGCAACAGGCAGGAGGCCCCAAGGAGCAGAAAGAAGGCGAGACTATTGTGAAGTAGGCATTGGTGGACGC